AATTATTTTTTTATTTGGCCATATTATGGGGGTACAGATTTTAAGTTTCAATAAAGCCATTTCCCCCCCTCCCCAAAAGTAGTCTCCATCATGACATCCCCAGATGGCAACATCTCACTCACTAGTATGATGTACCCCCCCTCCCCCTCCCACCTGCCCAATACCCTTTACTGTAGCACCGATGTGTCCACTTAGGTGCTACTCAGTTAATACCAGTTTGCTGGAGAAGATATCTGGCTGTTGTTTCCATTCTTGGATACTCACTTAGATATGGGTCAGCTCTAACCAGGAAAATATAAGGTGTGCTATATCACCATTCGTTCTTAGAGCTGAATAGTACTCCATGGTTACATATACCACATTTATTAATCCATTTTGATTGATGGGCATTGGCTGTTTCCACAGCCTTGCAATTATGAATTTGTGTCTGCTATAAAATCATTCGAGTCAGGTTCTTTTTGTAGAGTGTCACTGGGATCATTTGGTAGATGCCCAGCAATGGGATGCTGGATCAAATGGTAGATTCAATGTATCGCTTTAAGGTATCTCCATATTGCTTCCACAGAGTTGAACTAGTTTGCAGTCCCACCAGCAGTGTAGGAGTGTCCTCTCTCTCGCAACCAGCGCCAGCATTTATTGTTTGGAGATTTTATAAAGGCCATTCTCACTGGGTTAAGGTATACTCATTGTGGTTTTGATTTGCATTTCCTGATGATTAAGAATGTTGAGCATTCTTCATATGTTTGTTGTGCCATTCTGCTTCTTCTTAGAAAAATTTCTGTTCAAAGTCCTTTGCCCACTTTTAATGGGTTATTGATTTTTCTTCCTAATTTCGTGAGTTTAAGTAATATTCAGTATCAGTCCCTTATCGATGCATAGGATGCAAATATTTCTCCCATTCTGTAGGTGTCTTTACTTTCATGACTATTCTTTGGCTGTCAGAAGCTTTAGTTTGATCATGCCCATTTATTTATTTGTTGCTGCTGTGATTGCCTTGGGGACTTCTCATAAACTCTTGCCAGGCCGATGTCTAGGAGAGTGTTCCAACTTTCCTCTAGAGTTCTAATAGTTTCATATCTTAGGTTTAAGTCTGTTATCAGCGTGATTGGTTTTTGTGAGAGGTGATAAGGTGTGGGTCCTGTTTTACCTCTACCAGGTGGCATCCAGTTTCCCAGCACACTCCCGGGGTCTCAGGTACCCCTCCTTCCGGCCCTTGTCCGCTGTATGCTCGTCTTCTTGCTTCTTTCCTCTAGTTTCTGCTAGAATTGGTCTTTTCTGTAGAGACCCTCTGTCTGGCGGTGTTATTCGTCCGCCATCTTGCTCCGCCCCCCTCATTGAGTTTTTTAAATTATTATTTTCTCAAGTGTGTGCACACACGTGGGAGTTGAAGGCAGGGTTGGGGTGGTTCTGTTTAGAAATTCTCATCATTTCGCTAGGGACAAAGACACACTGTCCCCTTTCTGTTTTATGCAGCCGCTTTGGCACAATGAGGCAGCGTCACAAATGTGAGGAGCTGGAGGCACTGCCTAATGTGTTATCAGAATCAACCGGCACAGAAACAGCAGCCGGTATAGGAAACACAGCAGTTACCAATCGACATTCTCCAAACCCAAGGCCCTCGCATCGGGCAGAAAGTTGGCGACAACCAGGAAAGGAGGAAAAGGCACAAACTCCACTTTCCTCTGGCACCACGCGTTCCCACGGGCCCTGTGGTGGGGGTGTCACTGCAGCCACCCTGCCCGTCCTTAGCACCACTCCGGGACTGGAAAAAGACCTTGTCGTCCCTCTGATCCTCAGCAGCCTCTTCTGGAAAAGGGGTCTCACAGCCCAAAAGGGCTGGATAAGCATGAACCCAGGCAGCAGGTGTCAATACCCCCAGGAGCGCCTGTGCCCCACTGTCATCTCCTGCTCTCCCCACCCCAGCCCTCCTTGCCATCTGCAACCTTGTCATGCTTCCAGAACCCCAGCACCCCACCCCACGGCCGTCCTGGCCTCTGTCCACACTGCCTGGGAAGGGTCTCCCCTCTTTGGCTCCTGCATCTAGTGTGCCTGTCCTGCACTTCCGGCCCGCTTCTCTAGCAACTGGCCAGATGTCTTCACCTACATGTCTTGTCGACACTCAGTGTCCCTCTGGGGGTCCCCACTGGCCTGGCAGCCAGCCCACCAGCACCCCCTGGCACCATCGCCCAAGTTAATCATGAAGGCATGCGCTAACCCGCCCGTCCCTCCCTCCATGTCGCTGTCACCCACCCTGAGAACCCTCCACCCGCCACCTCCGGGACGCGGCCACCTGTGCCCCACGCCGCTGCCCTGGCCCGGGCCCCTCAGCCTCTCCCCTCCCTCTCGCCACCCCCCTCCTGGTCCAGGCCTCTCCCCAGCCAGCGGCCACGGTGACGGCCATGCTTCCGCCTGGGAAGTTGTAAGACTGGGGAAAGCAGTGAGGACAAGTACGCACCTGCCACCGCCCCGGTTGACAGCCACCTGCCACTAGGCTGCACGTCTTTGGGTGAATTTTGTGTTGCGTTGTCCCCATCCCCTGTTCTTTCCCCTTCTCTCTCTCTCTCTCTCTCTCTCTCTGAGGTCTGTCCAGAAAGCATCCAGCCATTGTTGATGTAACAAGAAATGTCTGGGCCACATCAAAGTGACCTGGCAGCCAAGGCGAGTGGACTGGAATGCGCATGCGCGAACGGTCATGACGTCAGTGGGGCGCCACACGCAGCTGGGTGAGCATGCGCACTGCGAGGCCGCCGCTTTCAAATTGAGCGAGCATTGGAATTCGGCGGACTTTAAAGAGCAATGTGGGAAGAACTGACTTTTAAACAATTTCTGACCTAGGGATACGGTCTAGATGCACAACCATTGATTTAGGTCTTTTTAAATTTCTGTCAACAATGTTTTACAGTTTTCAGTGTACAGGCATTTCACTTCATCAGATTTAACCTCTTGTTTCACATTTTTTATGTTATTGTAAATAATGGTGGGTATTTTTGTTTAACATCTGATTGCTTGTTGCTAATCAATAGAAATATAATAGATTTGGGTATACTGGTTTTCTATTCTGAAATCATGTTGAACTAATTTGTTCTAGAATTTTTCTGGTACATTCCACTATTTTTTTTTTTTTTTTTACATAGATATGACATTCATGAATAAAGGCAGATGTACTTCTTCCTTTCTGATCACAGTGCATTTTATTTATTTATATTGCTTTATTGCACTGCTTGGAAACGACGCTGAATGGCAGTGGCAGAAGAGGACACTCCAAGCTGGTTCCTCGGTTTAGGGGGAAAACATTCAGTCTCTCTCCATTAACTATGATGTTATGTGTAGGGTTTTTTCTTTAATATAATAGAAGAATTTCATTGAATGAAGGAACTTCCCTTTATTCTTAGTTTGTTGAGAGTTTTCATCAGGGATAAATATTGGATTTTTCCAAATGATTTTTCTCTATCTATTGGGATATCACATAGTCTTTCTTTTCTAGTTGTTTAGCACCATTGATGATAAATTAGTCTTACATTGCTAGAATGACCCCTATCTCGTCATGATGTAACATTATTTTTACATATTATTGGATTATGTTTGTTAAAATGTTATTTAGAATGCTTGCATCTATACTCATGAGTCAGTTTTATCTGTAGTTTTCTCTTTCTGTAATATCTCTGTCTCGTTTTGGGTGCAGAGTAATGCGGGCCACATAGAATAAGGTGGGAAATATTCTCTTCTTAAGATATTAACAGACACTTTCCTACAAAAGAAATATGTAGGTAAATGAACACATGGAAAGATGTTCAACATCATTCATTATTAGGAAAATGCAAATTAAAATAACAGTGAGATACCACTTAACTTATATTAGAATGGCTATAATGGTCATACTAGGTGTTGGTGAAGATATGGAGCAAGTGGAACTCTCATTCACGTCTTTTAGGGATATAATATGTGCAAGCCCTTTGGAAACAAGGGTATGGAAATTTCTAAAAAGATAATACAAGTTCAATATGATACAGCCACTCCACCCCTAGAGCATATAAAAGACTTAGACAATATTCGCCATATTAGCTTCATTTGTAGTGAACAAAACTTGGAAAGAACTCAAATGCCCATCAACAGGAGAAGGTGCAAACAAACTAATATATTCACACAATAAAAAGGAGCAATAAAAAGAATAACCTCTGATACATGCCACAACTCAAACTAATCTTGAAATAATTATGCTGAGTGAAAGAAACCACACAAGACAAGTGCACATGCTATATGATTTCATTTATATAAAATTGTAGAAAATGTAAGCGTGGCTGCAGTGAGAGACAGGAAGCAGATCAGTGATTGCTCAGACCTGGGGTAGAGGAGGCAGGGCAGGGAGGCTTGGGAGGGAGAGCTTGCCAAGGGACAGAGGACACCTTTGGTGGGGATGTGTATGTTTGGTATCTTTTTGTGGTGATGGCTTTACAGGTGCATACATAAGTCAAAACTGCATCAGATTGTCCCTTTAAATATATGCAGTATAATTAATGTCAATAATACCCTCTAAAGCTATTAAACATAAATACTATCCTTAGAAACGTTTATTTTTTGCATAAGATCTATTATTCTTTGCTGACCAAAGTTAATGCAGACATCATAGACTTGGGTAAAATTAAGGAAGTGCAAGAGAGAAGAATGAAAATAATCATTAAATCACCTGAAAATAATCATTCTTTAAAAATCTATATACTGTCTCTATTTTTGGTTGTATATATACTTTTTCCTACAACTTTCACATTCTAAGGTACATACTGTTATATAACCTGCTTTTTTAATTTAATAAACTATGCTAAGCATTTTCCCATATTATTAAGTCTTCTCCCACAACGCAGTTTTTAATGAATTCATAATGTACCACTATTTATTTAAGCAACATCTTATTAGATTTATATATTGTTTCTAATTTCTGCTTTTTAAAAATATCATAAAAAATACCTTTGTGTACACAATTTAAAAAATACCTAATTAATTTCTAGCATTAATTGTTTAAAATGTATTTTATATTTATAGAAAGAATAATTATTTGCTCAAAATGTGTATGTTTTTAAATCTTTTTGTCTATGTTGCCAAAGTCAAGAGGATTTATTGTTATTGTATTTTTAATTTGGAATTAATGGTTTTTAATTTAAATTTGGAAAGCACAGAATATTATAAAGAAGCAAATCACTATACCTCTCTGCTCATCAGAGGGAAAAGGAGGAGTTATTTGTAACATGGTACTTTCCTGATCAAACACTGATACATGTCCATCATTGATATATCTTCAGTGACACACACACACATATCCAGGAAAATTATAGAAATTTATTGTGTTTTTTTAAAAAAAAAGTAAAATAGTTGATTTAGGTTCATTGGCATCGTTTTATTATTTAATGAAAATCAAGACAGTATGTTAGAAAAATCAACAATTTTTAAGAGTTGCTTACCATAGGCCCAAATCCCAAGACGTAGTTTCAATATCCAGTTGCTTTTCTTATTTCTTTTTAATTTCTTTATTTTTAATTGACACTTAATAATTGTGCAGTAACAATTTATTATATATTGCTTTTTTCCTTAATGCTGTAAAACGCTCAAAAGGCTCGACACTGGGCAACTTCGTGAAGGTGTCCACTGAGCAGTAGGCATGGACAGTCACTTCATTCCCTCTAGTCTGCTGTGATTTTCTTAGGACTGGGAGAAGGTGATAATTGATCCTTCTGGACAGGGCACAGGGAACAGCGAGGGAACAGAACACAGGAGCAAATTAGTGTCAAGGCCACAGGCCGAGGTGCTGACGGGAACTGTGTTCTCTAAACTCCATCCCTTGGCCTGGCCTCACTGGGCTGGAGCCACCTCCATCCCTCTCATGGAGCACCTGCCTCCGGGGAGGAGGGAGGAGCTTAGGTTGCCCCTCTTCTCCTTGAAGAGACACATGGGACTATAATCCCTGTCTTTGTTTGATCTGCCAAAAGGCAGAGGGTCCTGGGAGAGTCTGGGGACAGGACGGGCACACATGCCCAGCTCTGACACAGCCACCTGCTCCCCTGTGGCTATGCTCGTCTTCTGAGAGGTGCCTGTGTGTGTCCTCAGTGGAGCCTGGCACTGACTCTGCCGGTGGCATCTTGGGACAGGCACACACAGTGGGTCCTCCCAGTGCTCGGCCTCCTCCTGGCACTACCAGTCCCTGGCCCAACAAAGTTGCCATCACAGCCCCCTGATGATCTCAGAGCCTCCACCAGTCTTCGCCACCATTCCCTTCACTCCTCCCGGTACACCTGGCCAGCCCCTGGGCTGCAGCAGAACTGTCCCCGTGTGCACGTGCATGGGTACATCCGAATCGTCGGAGCAGGGACCCTGGCATTTCATTACCCACAAGCAGGAACAATGTCAGTGTCCATCTGCGCCTGCTGCAAGGTCTGATGTGCACCCGAAGCCTGCAGCTGCCACACGGCAGGAGGCACTGAGGAAGGGACAGTAGGAGAAAGGCCTTTAAGGGGTGAAATGAACACAATTGTGCAAAGCTAACCCAAGGGTGACAAAGAGGCTTACTCCTCTTCTGCGGCGTGGCGCGGGGAGCAAAGTTGAAGGTTGATTTGGGAGGGCGCAGGGAGCATTCTGCAGGGATCTAGGGTGCCCTGGCAGTCACACAATAGAGAGTGTCCTGGGAGAAGTCCAGGCTCGGGGCAGTCCTCCACACAGCCCAAGGCGGGCAGCGGCCTGTCTTTGCTTTGCAGTCTGCAGAGAAAAGACAAAGGGCAGCGTCTGCATTTGCTCCCGACCAGACTCGGGACTCGCACCTCCAGATACAGTCGTCAGGCTTACGGCACCCGCGTGTGTAGATTTTCACCTCGCAGGAATGATCATTTTCCCGACGTTGCTAAAGAGATGTGCGTTCATATTTCCTGTTCTCTGCAGTCCCGGGTGGATGCAGACACAGGATGCTGCCTGCAATTAGGCAGAAGAAAACAAGCCCACTTTGCCCCTTGGCTCCAAGTTGTCTGTTTAGCCATTACCTTGAGCTCTCAGAAAGAGCTGGGGTTTTTTCTTTTTCCTCCATTTTGGATAATTCTGCTCTGGTTGAACTCATTTAACAACTTTGACTCTCTCATTGAAGGTGAATTAGATTGGCTACTTATGCGACTGTAATAGCCTTGAATCAGGTCTTTTTTTCTAAATCAGGTCGTTTTTTGCACTTGAAGAGATGTGCAGAAATCCCTTGCAGTCCTATAGAAGCTTTCCATTGTGTGAGCTGTGCAATTACAACAGGGGTGACTGGAGATGAAGCCCAAAGACAGTGGCAGAGAAAGGCCTTATGTCTGAAAAGACAAAAAGAAAAGAGGAATTGGGTAATTTAAACACAGAAAACTTCCCAACTCCTCATTTGTAGAGTGTGATAAAAAGCTCAGACACATTTAAATGGAATAAAGTAGGTCAACTGCTGCCCTTAGGTCTGCACGCTCAGCTGCCGCTAATTTCCTAGAAACCCCGTTTATGTCACTCAGGCAAACGCCATTTGAATTGCTGGGCTCTGAACTGGACCACGTTGGCAGAGGGTCGGCACCCAAACCCCAGGACCTGACCTGGGTGGCTTCCTGGCCATCGCCATGCTCAGTGGCTGCAGCAGTCTCAGTCCAGCGTGGCCCCTTATGATGACCCA